CTGTATTTTCCGACGTTCAGAGTCTTTTTCAGGTGTTTCCCCTCACGTTCGGTCCCCACAGGAGCGGTCGGCGTGGCGTGTTAACGGCAAACAGCTTTGGCTGCGTCTATTTGCAAAGCAAAAATATTTCCTCTTCCTTCCATCTCACTTTTTGCTGATATATTCGTATTCCGATTTTGCGACGCGCTGTTTCTAACACGTCAGCCGACCCTCCAGGCAGAACACGTAGCGTGAAAGGTGGACGCAGCCGGGCGGATTGGAAGCGCTCGCGTATTTACTGTAACCTCATTAGCGACAGAACGAGCTGCAATTAATACCGAGAATTATTTCCAGCTCCTCTGGAGGACGGTAAAATACGAAGCTGCTGTTTAATCGCTGCTCGCGTAAAACGGGTCCCGTGGCCCAAATCCGCCCCCCCTCACCCCGCGTTTTACCAGCCCCACGGAGATCCGCATCAGGCTCTAATTACCAGCGACGGCCAAACGAGCGGGTTACCTTCGGCAAATTGGCTCCGCGTAACTCGGCGCCAGGGCAGCCGCGGGAATCCTACGGGACGGTGAGGATGAGGAGCGGCGAGGAGCGGGACGCCCTTCCCGATCTGAGGTTTTCTTCCCCCTTTGCCTTGCAGGGAGCTGGAGCTGCGGTTTGCCGTGGCCGAGGTGCCGGCGGTGGTGGTGCTGAAGCCGAACGGGGAGGTAATCGTTGGAAACGCCGTGGAAGAGATCCGGCGCGCGGGCCCCGCTTGCTTCCGAAATTGGCAGGAGGCTGCCGAGCTGGTAGATCGGAATTTTCTCTTGGCAGAGGATTTTGAGGACTGGAGCAGGAGAAGCATCACCGACCCCATCCGCCGCCTCAAGTACAAGCTGGACAAGAAGACGGAGGCGAAGAACGAGGAAAGGAAAGAGGAAGGCGAAGAGTCTGCTTAGGGGCTCCGAGAAGTCCGGGGACGTCCCTCGCGTCGCTGTCCCGGCCTGGTTGCCAACATCTCCAGAGTAGCAACATCTGTCCCTGTTCTAGAATTCAGCTAAAATCACGTCCGTTTTCCAAAAAAATGAATTGTTTTAAGGCAAACGGGCTCTACTCCTGCGCTGTTCAGCGCTGGAAAATCAGTGATAAGGCTCCTCCGCCCCCGACTGAATTACTTTTCCTTTCTATCACCCCAGGACCTAGCGTAGTAAAAATCTCACAGTCACGTCTTTGTCGTTTATTTACCAAAAAAAGGTAGAAGAAAATTAACTGCTAGAGACCGGCATTCAGTGAATGACTCGCTAAACGGTTTTAAAAAATAGGAATTACGCTAAAAAAAAAAACCCCACCCCACAGCATGCCCGAGCGCTGCTACGGAGGTACGGAGCAGCCGTGGCAAACGACGACAGGAACAGAATCCCTGCGATAAGCCGATACAGGGATTTAGAGACAAGACAGCCACGCGCTGAGCACGTCCCGAGAAATCTCTCGTGTCGCTGCTCACGTTACGCTGCTGAAAATTCACATTTCGGACGAATCCTGCCGAGGAGCAGGTTGCTCCATGACTGGAATTACAACGCGCGGCGGCTTCTCCGAGCTTCGCGAGCCGCCTGGTTTTATCCTGCTAATCGCGGCGGCCATCTGCCGGGAAGCCGAGCCCCATCCCGGGTGGAAGATCCGCCTGTCCTTAACCTACCACGGGAGAGCGGCGGATGGCAGCGCCCGTCCTCGGTAAACGTCGCTCTGCTTCGTCCTTTCAAACTCAGCGGATTTGGAGGAAGCCGACTCTCTGAAGGGCTGAGAGGGAGCACGCTCCGCGGCCAAAAATCTCTGCAGCGCATCGCCCGATTTCCGTAATCGAGGGGTCTGAAAAGCAGGAGAAGAGGGGGGAAAAGGACCCTTTTAACTTGCTCATTTCTGGTCCCCCCCATTCTCCGCTGTATCACCGGGGAGGCGAGCAGAGGATTTAAAAAGCTTTGTGGGAAAGGATCCGGGAAGGAAAGCGGACGCGAAGACAGACAGACAGAGCGGCCGCGCGAGGCCGGCTCGTTCAACTCGTTTTCTCACTTAATCCTCCCTCTCTTCGCCCAGCAGGTTGGACAGGCAGACAGGGAAGGAGGAGAAGTCGTCTTCAAGGAATGGTCGGGACTCTGCTTTAGGCAGAACAAGGGCGCTTCCTTCAGGATGCTCTCGGGTGCACGGGCACCGCGTGAAAAGGCACAAATAAAACCCAAAAGTGCTTTCAAGGTGACGCAGCGGCTGGAGGAGCGAAGCTGTGCTGGCTGATGGGCACCAAGGAAACAATATCCCGTTTGCCTCGGGCAATGTCCGGCAGTTAGCATTTCAAAAAAAGTTATAAATCACAAATTAGGAACCTCTTATTAACTGGCAGCCTGGTGCTGCTTCTCATCCCCACCGAACTTTGATGTCAATGAAAGGATGCTCCCCACCCACATTTATGAACATTCAATAACAGTAAATGTGGACTTTTACCAGCCCTAGCCATTTATTGGGTTTTAACCACCATATTTTCCTCTGTTCAAACCCAAAAGTTGCCCTTTTCTTGGCGGTTCTGCGGAACATCATCACCACCGTACAGAGAAACAAGCGCGTTACGATTTTCTGGATTAGTTCAGTAAAAGAAGCCGTAACCCTTATGAGCGTGCTCGAGACAAAAGCATGAGACGGAGTCGCTTTTTTCCTACAATTAATAAAGCTCGGCAATACGTGGGAAGCCAAGAAAGCAAAATCGAGAACCGTGTCGTAGGCAGGACAAGAGGAGGCAGCGCCGGCCGATGCTCTACCTAGCGAGCGAACGCAGCGCTGCGCTTCGTGCTGCCTGGGAGGAGGAGAAAAACCCCTC